TAATGCAGGATTTGTATCATCCACCGCAGGAGAGCAGGCCTTCGGGCTCTGGATCATGTCCTGCAGACCTCAGGCATGTTACTCCGGGCGCCCTGTAGACTTGGGGCTCGGCCAGCTTTTATAGGGGAGGCTTAGGATAGTGTGGGGGGGGGGGGGGGGGGNNGGGAGGATTTGAGCTATCAGCTTCAAGTCTTCGGGGAGTCAGGCGCCTTCAACGCCAAAATTGTGGTTTCTGGAGGCTCATCTGCCCGGGTGCGCGGTGATCAGTGTCGTGAGACTTCCTTGCCCTAGAGCCCCACGCCCAGACCGTTAGATGAGAGTTCAGGAGATTGCAACTTGCGATTCATGCGTGGACCTTAAACCCGAAACCGAGTTGTGCAAGCACTTAAGCTCCGATGTCGGAAGATCTGATGCCAAGACCTGTACAGAGACTGCACGTCCCATCCCTAATTCCCAATGCAACTCAGAATATGCTCCAGGCACCGGTGTCTCTGCCTCTGGTCTTTCACATCCCGAATGTGGCTTGCAAGACTTCAAAAGTTTGATAGGGTGTAAACCTTGGTTTTGAAGACTGAATATGGCTTTGGAATTTTTTTTAACCCACGGAGGCTTTCAAAGCTGGTGCTTCAAGCTCTGAATACACTGGGGCCTCCTCCCACATGCTTTTTTTCCGAGATTTGGGAAACCATGGGAGTCCCGGGTATGCGAAATTGGGCACCAAACCGCCGCTCCCGACCGAACCTAGCCGTAAGGGTTTAGGGTTTAGGGCATAGCCTAGGTTGGGGGGATGTCAGCTGTTGAATAACTCACGACAGGCAAGGCTAGACTTGAATTGCAATTGCCCTGAACCTGCTGGCAAATGCACTCCTGACACTCGCAGGCCCATAAGCAACCTAAATCAAAAAAAGACATCCTAGAACCCCAAAGCCCTAGACCAAAACCCCAGAGCCCGAAGGCGACGCAAAGCCCTGAGACCCTACACATGGAGACCCAGCCCCTCCACCATAAGGAACAGGGTGAAGGGTTTGGGTTTAGGGTTTGGGGTTTAGGGTTTAGGGGTTTAGGGTTAGGGTTGCGCAACCCCTTCGGAAGAACAGTCACCATAAAACTGCGAAATAGAACAGTATGGGTCCCGTCCAAAATTCGCATCCGGAATAGGACCCCTATTTTTTCCTCAGAAACCTCCTAAAACCCAAAACCCTAAACCCAAAACCCCTGTTTAAGGAAGAGCCTACGGCCTACGGCAAGGCCCTTTAACAGCTCGTCCGAGCTGCTCAGGGTCTTTCGATTTGGGTCCGCGACACCCGTGGGCGTGGCCATCCTTCTCTGCACTCAGAAGGCTTCATGGCTTAGGGTTTAGGGTTTGGAAAGTTTAGGGGTTTAGAGTTTACGGGTTTAGGGGTCTAGGGCTTCAGGGTTTAGGGGTTTAGGGTTTAGGGGTTCAGGGGTTTAGGGTTTAGGGTTTCTGGGGGGTTAGAGTCTTCAGGATTTAAGCTTTGGTTTCACTGAAGACGGGTTCTTGCTGGGTATTCGGCGCTGGAGTTTCACGGTTCTTGAGTTTTAAAGGCTCCATGGGTTGTAAGCGAAGGAAACAAATAAGGAACCAAACCAACTAAGTTATAATGAATTAACATTTGGGCTATATTTGTAAACCTAAAAAGATTAAAGCTTTAGGGTTCAGGGTGGGCTCATGACCCAAGCTATGGGCATGGGGCTCGCGAACTGGGCCTAGAAGAGTCTCGGTTGGAAGGTGTGAGGTTAGATTAGATGATGGGGAACAGATAGAGGGGAGCTTCACAAGGGAGATCCCAAATCAACAAGCCCCTCCTCCCTCCAAGAACTAGATTTCTCCTTCAAGTGAAGAAATCTCCATGCTTGCGGCCCTTTGCAATGACTTTGCGCGCCCAAGGATTTCAGGTTCTGTGACACCCCTAATCATGCCGAAGCATCCATATTCGAAATGCAGGACTACACCGCAATGTCTTGACCCCAAACCGCCCAAACCCCAGCATCAGATAATACAGCTATTGTGCAGATCCCACAGGATCCACGGAGTTCAAGACTTCTGGACACTGTTTGAGGGACAGTGGGTTTAGGGTCTTAAATCTAAGCTCCACATGATGTTTAAGGAGTTTGAGGGTTGCGATGTTCAGGTGCTTAGGGTTCCGGTCTTCAGTGCCCGCTGCTGATCACACTGACTCTGAATGCACCTCAGAACTAATCCAAAAGCCCTCAGCGCTGAATCTGAACCCCTCGCTCTGCGCCCTAGAACCCTAACCCAAAGCCTTAAACTCCCAAGGCCGAAATGCCTAAGCTGTGAGGCCCAAAAGCCGACGCACTCAACACTAAACCACAAGTCCCCCCGCCCCCCTTCGGTGCCCGGCGTGGTGTATTGTAGTGTTGTGACCTGTGTCTGTAGCTTGTCTATTGTAAACTTTAACCCAGGGGCTGAGTAATTACCCTAGCCCAAAAAAGTTAACCTTCCAAATTATGGTAGGATTTATAAGCCCAAAAAGGTTAAAGGTTACCTACTCAGCTACTAAGTTAAAGGCTTCGGGTTGGAGATCTTTGGTTTCCAGCTTTGAAGGCATTTGGCCATGTATCGGGCTGCCTTACCCAAAGGATCCGAAGTGCCGATATGGTAGCATGTAGGGTTTCTGTATTAGGGATTACTATGATGATTTGGGGAAGTATCCCCTATAACAGTACCTAGGACCCTCTGGGTTAAGAAGGGCAAACAGGTGTCCGAGCCGTCGTTAAAGGGTGTCTCTTTTTTTTGGCCAGGCGTGCGCATGTGCGGCACAGATCCCACCAGCCGCAAATCCGAAGATCCTAAACCGGAAGCCCAGAGGCTGCAGTTTGGGCTCATTACGGCTTGATGATATAAATCCTGCATTTTTTAAAGACCCTAAACTGTGGGAAATATGGTACATTCCTCATTTATTATGGGTAATGCAGGATTTCTATCATCAGCCGTTACCTCCAGGTCTTCCAGAATCTTACAAAGCCCACTTCCCAAACTCGGGGCACAATCAGCCCTCAATGTGGAGTCCCAAGTCTGCAGCTGCTTCGACCGGCAGACAGGAACCAGCGAAAAACTAGATATCGGGGAAAACTACCATGACTAGCTGACTCGATTTTGTAAGGGTTTTTTGCGCAGAAGAGGCTTAGGCAGAATTTGCAGGACTCTACAGAGGGAGTGTATATGGGTAGTTCTATAAATTAGGGTCCCTTTTTGGGTCCCCAATATAGTATGGCACCCGTATACACAGGACCCCCCCAAAAGGGACCCTAATTTAGAAAACTACCCACTAGTTGCGAATTCTGATGGTGTCGTATTCAAGCCTGCCAAAGCCTAAACCAAACTACATGAAACCGCAGAAGACAATAATCCCTTGAACACCTACATTGCCCGCATAACCTTAGCCAGGCAATGAGCTCCCATGGCTTTCGAAGATGGAGCCAAAGTCCAAGACTTAAAGCCTGCAGAAGCTCAACCAAGCCTGCAGTACACCGCAATCCGCCAACACTAACCCTTTAACCCGAACGTCCTAAAACCCAAAGCCCTAAAACCTAAATTTTTCTTCCCTCAATCCTAAATCCTAAACTTAGTCTCGTGCAGGGCGGAATTGGGAAAATCCAGCAGGCGTCTCCGTAGGGGTTTGGAGTACACCTGGCCGGGGTTTGGTAGCTTGACGCTTCAGTTAGGGGTTCAGGGTTCAGGGTTCTCGGGGTTTAGGGTTTATGGTTTAGGGGTTTAGGGGTTTATGGGTTTAGGGTTTACGACCCGAGGTTGGTTTTTTTGTTGAAAGTGCTTGCGGCTCTAGGTTTCTGGGGTTCAGGGACTGAGGGCTCAGGGTTTAGCGCGTTGGAGATTTGGGCTGCGACATGGGGCTTTAGCTCGAGTGGACGCTTGTGAGGTCCTTGCCCATCGTAGGAGAAAAGTGCTGTGTCGGGTGCTCCCGAAACCCGGAGCGCCAGACCCGCAAGGAGCAAGCCTCCAAGCTTTGCAAAGACCCTAAGCCTTAAACCCTAGAGCACGAGAGCTTTAAATAAAGCCCACCCCCCGAAGCCTCAAGCCAGCCTGAACATTCATCCGAAACTGTTGGCAGACTTTATACAACTGGCTTTCTTTTTGGCGGGTTGGGTGTGCTAAGCTCGAACAGCCATAAGATGGAGTTCCTACTTTGGGTTACACGAGCTTCGGATAGAATCCGTGCGGCAGCTCGTGCGTCGCTAAACACGCGGGCTCTACCCCAGGTGTATGCAGGAGTGGCCGGCATCTCCGACATGCCTGGTCGTGGGGCTTCTTGGAAAACTCTGGGTATGTCATGGCATGCCAAACAGTAAGGGGCAGAGCAGAAAAGACCTTCTAAAGGAGTCGATTTCGAACAGCGGCAGCTAGAAACGGCTTACTTCGTGCAGACTTGTGGATTTATGCGCGGAGTCGTAGCATTGAGTCTGAAAAAACGTCCAGTGCGAGGTGGGGTCCAGCTTGGGCTTCCGGAGTCAGAGAGTATGGATCACTCCAATACTCTGACATGCCTAGTAACTAGTATCACTGAATGATATGCCGGTAATGTGAGAGTCTGTGGGTGTGAGGTATGGGCGTTCAGAGCTCAAGGCTTCGGGGCTTTGGGGCTTTGGCAGTTCCGAGGGTGAGGGTTCATGGGCCTTGGGGTGTTTCCGTACCCTAAACCCTAAACCCCTAAAGCCCTAAACCCCAAACCCCTAAGACCCTAAACCCCTAAAGCCCTAAACCCCAAACCCCTAAGACCCTAAACCCCTAAACCCCTAGACCCCCAAAGGGCTTGGCCGCAGGCTCCAAGACCTGACACTCTGGAACCCTGGAGCGACCACGCTCCGTGGAGCACAAAATCTGAGCCCCGCAAAAACATGATTCATGCTAAACTCCCAGCCCCTAAACCCCTAAACCCTAGACCCTAAATGTCTTCTTATGGTCCTGTAGAGGAGGGTGCGATCTACCTGGCTGCGGGTAGGTGTTCGAAGTCATCTTGTGCAGGTTTAGGCCCTTGGGTCAATGTTGAACATGCTGAGATCAAGGCTCAATGTATTCTGCATGCACTCTAATGCCAGAGGGATCAAATGGGGGAATTACTGACATTGCGGCTCCTCTGTCAAACGTTCTTGCCTGACACGAACTTCATGGGATCTTGCGGCAACGGCAGCGCGGCTGCTTGAGCGGCCTAGGCAGAAGTGAGCTTGATCTTTGCGGCGCTGGGCTTGGCCACAAGCACGTAGCACCCAAACGGTACAGATCTTAAGGGTTTCCTTTCGGGCATGGCATCAAAAGGCTGGGCACGTTTCGTTCAAGACATCTGAGCTACAAGGATGCCTCCTCACGAAAGGGCCCCCCAACATCAACATGCTCACTACAAGAGCTCCCATTGTCGCGTTTACCCGAGCTGGCACTCTCTATCAAAGAAACAGCGTTGACCACTCCCTCGTGCATTGACTTAGCACCTCAGGCATAGTGCTGCATGCTGTCTGAGACTACGAAATGTCACAGCAGGCACTGACAATGATGATTCTGGTGATGGTCAGCATCTGCATATCCCATCCGCGCAGTTGCTGTGTTGGTGGTGGGGAGTGCAGCGAATCCACGAGCAGCAGCAGGAGTAATATTATTGCGATTAGTAATCGTCGTCGTCGTGGTGTTGTTGGTGGTGGGTTTGGTGGGGGTGGCGGCGGTGGTGGTGGTGGTGGTCGTCGTCGTAGTAGTAGGTGTAACTGTAGTAGTAGAGGAGGAGTAGTGGAAGTACCAGTAGCAGCAGGAGCAGAGGCGGAACATGCTCAAAGCCAAAGCCAGAACTTGAGAAATGACGTCTTACCCCGCTCTTTTGTTCACAACCCAATCTAGGCAGCATGCTGCACCAAACATACCCCACCATGCTGGACGTTGCGCTGCAGGTCCTTATCATACTACGTTCCGCCCTTTTGCCGGTGTGCTGCAGGTCCTTATCATACAACGTTCCGCCCTTCACCTGCTACGACCCAACCTTTTGCCGGTGTGTATACGTCAAATGTATATCGTACTAGACCAGAGGGATATGCATATGTACATAAATGTGTATATACATTATGCATTATATATATATGTATATATATATATACATATATATATATATTGATTGATTGATTGTTTGTCGGTGTGTCTGTGAGTAACGGCTTTGGTACATGTATCTTTGTTCGTCTGTTAGTCCGTCGGTCTGTCTGTCTGTCTCTGTCTCTCTCTGTCTGCTTCTGTCTCTCTCTGTCTGTCTGTGTCTGTGCGTCTGTCTGTGTGTCTGTCTGTGTCCGTGTCTGTCTGTGCTTGTCTGTGTCTGTCTGTGAGTCTGCCTGTGTCTCTATCTGTCTATCCCGTCTATCCCTGTCTGTGTCGCTGTCTGTCTGGGTAAGTGTCTGTGTGTCTGTGTATGTATGCATGTATGCATGTATGCATGTATGGATGTATGGATGTATGGATGTATGGATGTATGTATGTATGTATGTTTGTTTGTTTGTATGTATGTAATTATGTATGTATGGTACGTGTGCTATGTGTGTATGGTACGGTATGGTACGGTAGGGTATGGTCTGGCATGGTATGGTACGTAGGGTACGGAGTGTTACGGTACGGCATGGCATGGTATGGTATATGGTGCCTGTGCGTGTGTACACGCCCGCCCGCCCGCTCGCCCGGCCACCCCGCCCCCTTACCCACCCCCACCCGCCCGCCCGCCCACCCGCTCACCCACCATTGACACCATATCTATCTATCGACTATCGACGCACCGATCCACACACCCAAACGCATACACCTACCCATTCACCCACAGACCTGCATACACATTCACACAACCACATGCTTTTGTATGTATATCAATACTGCATACATCTACTTTCACCCTGCCCCTGCGCTGGGCACTTTCCCACCCGCGTAAGCAGGACTTGAACCACTAAACCCCACGCCCAAGACTGCTTCTTGGGTCGTGACATCTGCACCTTCTGGAATCGACCTGGAAGGTTTGGTCGTCAACACTTTGGGCATTAATTTCGGAGCTCTTCGAGTCGGCTGAATCAGGGCTTAAGACATGGTTACCGGATTCCGGGGCTGGATGCAGGAATTGCATCGAGAAACCCAGCAATACCGATCCAATGCCTCGGTTTACGGTGTCGGATCTCTGTGCAGTTGGACATGCAAGGCCATGGAAAGATTTAGATGTCCAGCAGAATCCTGGGTTTCGTCTACATCTGAAACCCTATAGCCGAAAGCCTGCATGCTAAACCGCAAAATTCGTAAGTCTCATCCCCAAATCTGCGAAGGTTCAGCCCCAAATTTCCGACACACAGTAGGCTCTTTCAGTGCTGCCTGTATCGCGTGTGCGCGCGCCTCCTGAGAATGAGCTTTTCTACATCGTCGGCAAGCTGGCTGAGCGATGACCCAGGAAGTCTCAGGGTTGATGCTCTGAAGCCTCATGTTTTTTCAGCCCTACCTCTAATTACTTGCCGTCTTAAGCGTTCTACCCTATAACGATGAGGTCATGAGCTACTAGTTCATAGAGGCCCGGAACAAGTTGCTCTTGCTATCCATGGCCCTTCGACGGATCAACAAATTTGTAACCTAGCAGAAGTGGAAAGCCCCAGATCGCAAAACCTGAACGCCCAATGCATCTCCAAACCTCTGCCTTGAGACCATGACCCCGCAACCTGAAACCCCGGAGTTTGAAATACTCCTTTGCCCACGCCCCAAGACTCCAAATCTCACTTCCGAAACCCCTAAACCCTAAGCCACACTTCATGGCCCTGAGCCACTGGCACCATGGAGTTTTGCGACAGGAAGTTCAGTGGGTTCGGCTTCGCCCTGGCCAGTTGAAGCTCTAAAGGCAACGGTTTCTATGTGAAGTCATTTGGGATTTTATGGTTTGGGGGTTTACGGTCTGGACTTTAAGGTTTAAGATTTAGGGCGTAGGACGGTAAGACCGAAAAGGATGCTTGTTTTGTTGTTGTGGCTGCCTTTTAGCTGCGGGTGCGCGCTGGTGTTTGTTTTTGCTGCGGATGCGCGGGCGCAGCAATAAGAAACACGCCCCACACCCGCAGAAGGAACAAAAACGCATCAAAAGGAAATGGCACCTCGCACCAGCAGCAAAAAGCACCCCCAGCATCAAGAAGAAACACGGGTAATAAAGGCTGTGGTGCCTTTTGATTGCTGCAGGTGCGGGGTGAGTTCACTCACTCACTTGCTGCCCACCGCCCCTAAGGCACCCACAGCAAAACAGCACCCACAACAACAAAAAACGTGTTCCGGTTTCGAGCTGAGGGAAGCTGACAGTGAAAGACTCAGCCTAAACCTGTGACCTCAATCATGGAATCCCAACCCTTAGCAGCAATTGCTTTCTCCAACTTGCAAAAGCCAGAACGACCCGAATTTCAACACTAAGCGATGAGGAGGAACGTTAAAGACTGCACCTTTCGTGTTTAGCATGTGAGTAGTTCTCGAAATTCGGATCCCTGTTTTAGCTCCCCAAAGTAGTACGGCATCCTTATAAAAAGGATCCTAAACGGGACCCTAATTTAGAGAACTACCCATGTGGAATATATACAAGGATTAGGACAGAAACGGGAAGGTCTGGGAATCTCTGGGATGTGAGGTGTCGTCTTTACCGTGCATCAGAGTTTAGCGTCTGGGTGTGGGGGATACTCTCTAAACCCTAAGCCCTGAAACCCTTAACTCCCAAAACCCTTAAACCAGAAAATCCCGTACACCCGGAATACGTCCTAAGACCCTTGGCCCTTAATTCCTAAACTAACACTGAACCCCGTTGACTTGGACCCTCGTTCTCCCAAGCCCCTCAATGAGTTACTCGACCGCCAAACCACCAAAAAAAAAGGAGCCTTGCACTGTCCTATTCAAAGTAGATTGCTGCAACAAGGCCCTTATAAACTATGCTGCATTCTACTATACTATGTTAAGCCATACCAATTATACTATACTACACTAAACTAAACTAAACTATACTATAGTATATTATACCATACCATACTATGTGATACTTTTTTCTAGACTATGCTGAAAGATACTATATCATACTATAGTATACTATACTAAACGATATCATACTATAATATATTGTACTAAACTATATCAAACGATTATATACTATACTAAACTATAGTATACTAGAGTATACTATACTAAACTATGGTATACTATAGTATACTATACTAAACTATATTATGCTATAGTGTACTATGCTAAACTATAAAAGGGGCCGTGGAGCCTCTGGGTCTCAGGGATGGGAGCTTCAGGGTTTCGCGGCTTCTGAAGTGTTGTACCGATTGGAAGCCCGCCCCAAGACACCATGGGGCTTAGGGTTTAGGGTTTTAGGGTGTAGGGTTTGGGGTTAGGGCTTCGGGCTTTAGGGTTTCAAAATTCAAAGTTCTCAAACAACGTGCTGGCGATCGTGTATGGACGATTATTTTCTCAGGAATCTTCCTGGATGACACTAAGAAGCCCCCCCCTCCCAAAAAAAAAATGCGCCTTTAGGCTGTCGGGTCTGGGGTCCGCATCTGTATCCTGAAGCCGGGTGCACCCTAGACCCTACAAGCCCTAACCGGTAAACTATAAACCCTAACCCCTATGAAGCCTAAACAACCCCTAACCCCGAAACCCCAAAAGCCTCAAAACCCCCAAACCTCAAAAACCCTGCAAAATAAAACGACTAAAACTTTCGTAGGACCGGGGCGCCTCCGCACGACCGTTGCCCCGGCTGCCACAGTTGTGCCGGCCTCCTCAGCCAACCCAAACCCTGGGCCCCGTAGTGTAATATGACATAACAGTACAACCAAAGTATAACACAGTATAGTTAGTATACCACTACATGCGAATGCAATACCGTCTCGTATTGTATAACATAGTATAACATAGTATTACATAATATGGTATACCGAAGCAGGAAACCCCTGGGCCCCTGAGCCCTGCCTACATCCGAAACCCTAAGCCAGCGCAAACCCAACCCATTGGGCCCTTGGCCGCCGGGTCGGTTCAGGGCTGAGGCACTTGAGCTGGAGGGGTTCAGGCCTAGGTTTGAACGGTTTCGGGTTTACCTATAGTCTCCATTGTAGTTCCTTCTTTTGGTTTAACCAATTCTATATAAAGGTTCCTAACAGGTAACCCCAAAAAGGAACTACAATGGAGACTAGAGGTAGGGTTCATTGATGCTGCGTTGACACACAAGACGGGGAAACAAGATGATTTGTGCTGGCACTTCCTGCAATCGGCCGATTAAGGCATGAGAACAAGGAGTTTCCGACTATATGCGACTTACTGCAAAGCACAACCCACTGACTCAAACGCCGACGCCTATTTACAAGCTCCCCAAAATCTTGGCCCGTCTGGCTTGCAGCAAAGCGGCAACAGCCTGGCCATCAGCAGCTTGCTGCAAGGATTCCTCCAGTCGCTGCAGTTTTCTGTTTGCATTTTTGGATCGGTCTTATGATCTTGTGGGAATCAAGCTGTCCATGCACTGGGGTGTAGGCGTTTCGGGACCATTCCACTGAAGGAGGGATGAAACAGAGGCTCCGGATCGCATCACGCAAAGCTTTGGGGTGTGCGGTCGGCTTCAGAACTGTGGATCTGTATTAGGTCCTAGGTGTAAGCATAAGTCAAGAACTCTGTATTGGCAGCAAGCCGTGTGATAGGCGAGTGCAGACACAACAGCGATACCGAGTTTTCGGTAAGCGCCGACATAATCATGAAAACTAAGCCCTAGACACTCGGCGGTGCTGAACATCATCATATGCATATAGAATAAACAGGTATCTACGTCCTGAAAGACCTCTATCATCCCTGGACCGTACATAATCAGTCGCATCTAGGGGATCTAGCTTACCTACACGATCGCAAGACCCCATCCCCGAGCACAAAAAGACAAGGCCGAGTAGCTAAACCCTACGCCCTAAGCCTCGAATCTTTAAATTTGTTAGAGAGAACGCATCAAAACTCTTATGGAACCCTTCAGAAACCCTTCAAAACCCCGTAAAGGCCCCCGGCCTTCAAAGCCACGGCTTGGCGGGCCGGTGCCGAAGAGGGAGGAGAGGGAAGGGGCGTAGCGGTCCTCGGCATCGCAGCCAGAATTGAGGGGGTGGGGGGGGGGGGGTGGGGTTTGGAGTGTAGGGGCCTCAAGTCTTCGAAAAAGGCTTATTGCTGGATCCTCTGGATTTATTAAGGGTTTCATAGATTAGTGGCTTAGGGGGTTAGGGGCGAGACGAGAGATTATAATGTTTAGGGTGTAGGGAGCTTGAACAACAGTGATGTCGTTCTCTGTCGATCACCGGCCTGCGACGCACCATCTTTGAGAGTGCCCCAAGCAAGGAAGAGAAGCCTTCCCTGATAGGAATCACTGACATGGAACTTACTGCTGGCAGCAGTGAGATTCTGCCGGGCTTTCTTGGCAGGGCTGAACCCTCAGCCTCGCATCGTCGAGGCCTGTGGCAGCTTCTTGCTGCATCTGCGTGTCACTACAGGGCCCGCTGATTGCTACTTTCCCTTTGTAGCCAGAGTAGCGGGTACCCGAATCTGGCCCCTAACAAACCGACCCTAACAAAGACAAGCCATCCCTACCCCAGGCTCTGAACACTGCTGCCACTGAACCTCGAAACCCTAAACCGAAGAACCGTTCAAACCCCAAGTCCTTAGCCCCAAGCCTTAAATCCTAAACGCTAAACCCTTAACCTGAAGCCCTAAACCCTAATCCTAACTAGGCCCCAAACCTCTGAACACCCCCAATGCCCAGACCCGACACGCTCTAAGACCAATAACCCTCTTGGTTCAGGGTTTAATTGGGGTCTTACCTTCGCCTAAATCTTCAACTACCCCCAAAAGCCCTCTAAGCTAATAACCGAGTCTGCCTGGTTACACGCAAGCATACTCCCTAAACCCTAGTCTACTTCTTGCGAACTGTGAAGCCCTACAATCCCTACTAAGGCTCAGGTCAAAAGCTTCTTCAAGGGAGTACATGGGGGGTAGTTTTCTAAGTTCGGGTCCCTGTTTAGGTCCCCAAAATAGTAGGGCACCTTTATCAAATGGACTGTGGAAGGGACCCTAATTTAGAGAACTAGCCATCTGGATTCTTCTGGGTCACAGGGAGCAGGCGGAAGCTATGGGAATTTCCTGGGGTTCGATGTTCGGGATTGCAGGTTGGATGTGGCTGGGATTGAAGACCCGGACAAGGCCTTGAAACAAACTTCGGACTTCGTGCAGCCGCTTTTTCAGCATGTGTACAACACAAGGCCCACAGACCAAAACTCGCAAACCCGACAATCAGACTCCGAATCCTAAACCTTCACGCCGTAAAATCCACACTCGAAACCCCAAGCCCAAAAACACAGGATCCTGGACAAGGCAAAGTACGGAGGCCTTAGCAAGTAGAATAAGGTTTCGCCCGTTGATCCTAGTATGATGACATGAGAACCTCCAGGGCTTTTCTTGAGATTCCCCAGACCTCTACACTACGCGGCATCTATCAGTCGAACAAAGGCCAACCTGTGGCACTTTGGCCAAGTGAGATTTTTTCCCTACTGGCAGTATAAGAGGGCCACAGCGGGAGATGATTACCCTAACCCTAAAACCCTATAAACCCTAAACCAATTCTTCAGACCTCATGTGAAAAATAGTGCCAAAGCCCCACGACACCCTTGGAGATCCCCGCCAAGTCTAAGGGGTCCTCATGGCCTTTGCCGGCTCCGGGAGTTCGGGGGAGTTCTGGGGCTCCCAACGAGGGAATATCGATGAAGGTGTTTCGGACCTGTCGGGAGAGACCGGCGAAGGCGGTTGCAAAAGGCTACGCCCGGATTTCTAGGATTTGGGAGGCCGGGCTATCCCTTTTTAGGTCCCCAACATATCAAAAGGACCCTAAAGGGACCCGAATTTAGAGAACTACCCTTATGCCCCTCTTTGAGGGCACAGTTAGGGTTTTGGGCTTTCGGGTAGGAGCTGCGGCCCTGCGCTTGTGTTTTCAAGGTCCCATGGCTTGCGGTTGGGGGGGTTGAGGTTTTGCAGCCTGGTGTCCAGGGTACTGCTTGCAGTTTGGGTTTAGGTTTTAGGGTTTAGGGTTTAGGGTTTAGGGTTTAGGGTTTAGGGGTCCAGGGTTTGGG